TGGTGGCACATGCTATATGAACTCAGCCTCTGTGATTTATTGATCACACTGCAGTTTTTTAAAAAAAAAACTATAGCTACGCATCATGTATAAACCAAAAGGCCATCATATACTGAAAAACTCTAGTATCTTTTTGCCTCAAAGCTCCATTTTGCCAATTGGGGCCTGTTTTTCATTTTATAATGAGTCAAATGACCTTCACAAAGCAGCAGCCGAAAAAATCTTTTAGTACGTTGTGTCGATTCCTTTTAATGCATTCATCTTAAAAATTGATCAGTATTTGTGTCTGAGAGCAATATTGCAAGATGAGAAACTTACAAAATTGTTAGAGAATAAATAAATATTCTGCTGAAAAAAAACTTGGCTATTATAAAAGGGAATACATATAAATCGGTATTGGATGAGTAAGATCAGGTGTTAAATAACACAATGCTAAGGGAAATAAACGTCTTTGGAAAAAAATATCCCTATGTCTCTACTTTTATCTATTATATCTACTACCCAGTATGATATCAGGTACAATCTAGCATTCACTGAACTTTTTTCTGCTCAACAATCACACCAGTGATGTAATGATAATACTAGTTATCTTGGTGGTACTGAGATGAGACCAAAAATAGAATAAATATCAACTAGCTCTGCATTTTTTTTTATTATGTAAAATACACTTGACAGCAAACAATACTATCGCCAATTTGGAACTATTTTTCTTTGAGGTCCTGCCAGCCTGACTCAATTTGTCCATTATAAGCAGTACTTCTAGGGAAAATTGCCGTATACTTAATAAACTCCACTCAGAAATCAGTACTAAACAGTTGTTGTGCTATTCGTCTGCAAATCCAGATATTGGGTGTTAGGTAAAATTTTCAGACTGCAGCATAAAAAGTTACTCACAAGGACACAAAAAATCATATTTCCTTTTAAAGAAGAGTTGGGGACATATTAGCCTTGGAACACATCTGCTAAAACATTAGTCCATCATGCTAGTCAACAAAAGCACCATTCCAAGCATCATCTAACATCTAACAGAAAAGAATTCCAGCAGCCATTTCTTTTGCAGCAAAGTGGTTCTCTTGACACAACATTGTCCCACTCTCCCCTACTCAGCAGCACATCCTCCACAACAAATAATAAATAAAAGCTGAAGCCATTTTGAAAGTGCATCTTTGAAATTTGCTGGCCTGTGAAGAAAGAGGGCACAGAAAGAGCGCTGATGAGGGAATGTTCTAAAGGCTCACTTCAACCAACACTTATGTCATGCAGTATCCAGGAGGGCACTGGGACACTTGCAAGCATGTCACTTTGCAATTGTCAAACCATGTATGTATGTATGTATGTATGTATGTATGTATGTATGTATGTATGTATGTATGTATGTATGTATGAATTATACATATATACTACTCTCTCTAGTAGCCACAAATGCTGGTTGTCCGTGAATATTTCTAATAATCTTTAGCTTGATTCCTGGTGATGATGCAATACACCTATAGCATTTTCTTCTCACAGCAGAGTGAACAGCCCTTTGCTACCTTCTGGAAATTTTTGTTTTTGTTTCGTGGGTTTTTTAAATTGTCTCTCATCCAAGTACTAATTAGATATAATCCTGCTCAGTTTTTCTAAAACCAGTCAAGGTTGGTTTAAGGTCCTCCTTAAAATTCTCTATATGGGAGCTATCACTGCATATGAAGACAGCAATTTTTTTTGCTTCAGGATGCGAATACATAAACAATTCCATTCCTTTGTTCCTATTTCTTTACTCCTTCCCAGTTCAGTCACTTTTGGCCAGCCTACTTCCTGGAGCCTTAGGGTTACACTCCTGTAATCTCCCTGACAGCACAAAACCTATGACCAAGGATTTCAAAAACTATAATTTTAGCATACCTGGAGGGCTGAGTATTGAGCAATCTTATATAATATTATACTATACTATACTAT